CCTGGAGCGTGCCCGTCTCCGGCTGGCCCCAGGGCTGCTGCTCATCCGGTAGGCGGTGGGGACGCTCCTTTCTTCCCGCCGTCGTTCCGGGGAGTGAGCTCTCCTCCGAGGGGACCGGGAGCGGGACCTGGGCAGATGAGATGAGGTTCAGCTCGGCTTCCGGGCAGCGTGTCTGAGCCCCCGGCCCAGGACCCGCCTCTGCGCCAGCCACCAGAGGCCCCAGTCCTGCCACAGCACTGGTGCAGAACACCGGGCTGAGGGCCGTCACCCTTCACTGCACACGCACCGCCCCATGGCTGAAGTCTGCACGCGGTGTGTGTACTGAAGCAGGGGTGCAGAGCTGCTCTCAGTGTAGGCAGGCCCAGATACCCTCCGGGCCGAGTCCAACCCGGCCTGCTGACCCCGCTCCCTCCCTCCTGCTACTGTCCACTCATCTCTCTGGAGCCCCAGCTCAGCGGCCCTCCTCCAGTCAGGTAAGGGGGTACATGTCCAGCCCTTGCCACTTGCTGGGCCCCGGCAGCAGGCAGGCACTGCACAGGGAGGGACACGCAGGAGGATCCTGCAGCCCCCGCTGTGCCCCCCCCTCGTGGCAGGCATGCCCAAGAACGGGCTTAGGAGGAAGTTGAGAACAGCCCAGCCTCGGGACAGGCTAGGCCAAGCAACTCCAGCTCACGGTGCAAAGCCAGCCAATGCTACTTACTCGTCCTTCTCGTGTGCTTGGAAACAAAGACCCAGGCTATGCATTGGCGCCCCACACCCATGGCAACGAAGACCCGAGCCTCACGCAGCTAAGGTCAGGTCCTCAGCGGGAGTGCCCCGGGACAGCCTCAGGCCGTTCTGGCTCTTTGAGCACTCAGTAAAAGGCCCGTTTGGGGAAGACTGCAATAAGCAAGATCTGGAAAAAACCCACATCATTTCGTTCTGTGGTTCCCATGACAACTCACCCAAACACAACATAAAGAGAAGCAGTCTGATTCGCTGTTTGAGAAAGTTCTCCACTGAATCATTCTAATCACAGCAGAACTTGAAAACAACGCAAGCTGTTGTCCCCAGACCAGCCTCCGTGCACTGGAGAGACCTGAGTCAGTCTTTCAAGAATTATTTTTAATTTAATTTATTCATTAATTTATTTTAGTTTGACCAGACACACACACACACACACACACACACACACAGAGAGAGAGAGAGAGAGAGAGAGAGAGAGGCGAGAAAGACCACTGCCAGTTCTGGGACTTGACCAGCCATGTGGGAGTGTCCAGTGCCTTAACCACCACATCACCTGCTGGTCCCCCCTGAATCAGTCTTGAATCGGGCAGCCTTGGGTGGGCCTGCTACAAGAAGGTGTCCCAGTGTCCCAGCTGGGCCCTCCCTGCAGACCTCCCTGACGGGGTGAGAGAGACAGACCACCCGGGCCAGGTCTCCTGCCAGGGACCTAGCCCCATGCAGCTGGGACGCTGTGGTCTGAGACCCAGAGGCACACGCCCGGCTATGGACAGGCTGGTGGGCACTGCCTGACCAAGGCCAGTGCACTCTGATCACACGGCACACTTGGTACCCAGGGAAGATAAAGTGGCTCTCGACGCCTGCAGACACGTGGCTGCTCTGCGGGGCTGTCGGTGTGAGCTCCCTGCGCCGGGACGTGCTGAGCCCGCCGATCTCGAGCTACCTGGGAGCTCATCTCGGAGCTGGGGCAGTAAACCACTGGCTCATTACTGTTAATATTTTTGCTATAAGGCGCGTGCGCTCACCAGAAAGACAGAGAGAGACAGAAAGCGAGAAATCACCCCCGGGGGATGGCCACGCCACAATCCCTTCTCCATTCTCCTCTCGGGATCTTGGGCACGCACACACACGCGCCTGGCGTGAGTTTAAGCCATCGGGTCCGGGACTCGAACTGTAGTCGACTACATGGGAGTCCAGCAACATAGCCATTACGCCAACTGCTGGTCCCTCATCAGTGCTTTTTGTTTTATTAAGCTTTTAATACTGACGTGACACAGCACAAGGAATGGGAGCTCCGTCTCATTAGCAAGTTAACTGTATAATGTGACCAGAAACCTTCTAGAAGACGAAATGGTCTGAATTAAAAACTCAGGAGCATTCAATTCGGAAATCTGCTCTAGAACAATCACAATGGTTTGCTTTCAAACCATCCCAGAGCTTTATCTCAACGACAGCGACAGCGACCATGTTCATAACAGCTGCTTCTCACCAGACGGCAGCTTAGCCCACCCCTGCTCTCCTGCACAGACAGAGAGCACTGCAGCCCTGTGAGCGGGCGCACCCTTCCTGTAGCGACAGCTGCTGCTTTTACACCCCTGGGCTCTGGGAGTGGTCAGCACCAGTCGAGTGAGGACGGAGGGAGGCAAGCCCCGTGACCAGGCCAGCAGGGGAGTGCAAGTTAAAGAAGCTGGCTCCCACATGGCCGAATGCAGGGTTCGCGTCCTGGACCTGGTGGCTTGAAAACCATGCCGGACGTGTGTGCACGCATGCCCAAAATCCCAAGAGGAACTTGAAGGAGAGGGGCCCACGGCATGGCCAGCCACTCCTGGGGGTGACTTCTCGTTCTCAATCTCTGGCCTGCTCTGCTTCTCTCCAGGGAGTGCATGTGTCCATGATAAAAATGAAAACAAAAAAAGGACAAAGACTGTGTCCCCACCACACCCCCCGTGAAGTGCGTCCTCGGCCGCCCTGTAGGTTCTCTAACGACACGCTGACCCGACACGTGTCCTCAGCGTGCGGAGCCCAGGGACAGCTGGTCTTGCACCTGCCTCGTCCTTGGCCTGGGGAGCCACCGTGGGACTTGGGTGTGGACGGGCGATGGAGCAGCTGCACCAGGGCAGCTCTCAGGCAAAGCCTGTTGGGCGAGCCCGGGAAGTGCCGCTCTGCCGCGCCACGGCTCGCGTTTGATAACCCCGGGGACCACCCTGCCATGTCTCCTCCAGTCGGACAGCTCAGGATCAGTCACGGACCGGAAACAGGCAGGCAAGGCACGTGCTCCCGGCCTTCCCAGGCCACCAGGACCGGGACTCCACCATGCGGCTGACCGTGTGGGGGCCGCTGCCTCAGCCACCATGCCAGGCAGCACGACATCCTTGAGCAGCAGGTCCGAGTATGCTCGTCGGGAGACTGTCATCACAGCAGAGATGGCCAGGGCACGCTTCCCTCCACGATCCTCTCAGCTGAAAGCTACTAGGGAGTACGACTCCGCCTGGTCTTGTCAGCACGGGATACGTGTAAATAATATAAACGTGTTAGGGCACAAACACATGTGTAGATGTAAACCTACTCTGAAATTTGAAAGTTGTTTAAATACGTCAAAGAGTATCAGTAACTTACTCCATCACGTTAGCCAACAGAAAGCGTGTGGAGCGTTCAGCCCTGAGTGTCAGACCCCCGGGCCCCGGACCCCGTGCACGGCGCCCGGATCCATGGGATCTCCTGAAACTTCAACACCCAAACCTCACTCACTGCTCTCTGCCATAGGACAGAGATAGAAATCACCCCCCAGGGGATGGCCACGCCGCAACGCCTTCTCTCCCATTCTCTTCTTGGGATCTTGGGCACGCACACACACGCGCCCAGCATGTGTTTCCAGTCGGACAGCTCAGGATCAGTCACGGACCGGAAACAGGCAGGCAAGGCACGTGCTCCCGGCCTTCCCAGGCCACCAGGACCGGGACTCCACCATGCGGCTGACCGTGTGGGGGCCGCTGCCTCAGCCACCATGCCAGGCAGCACGACATCCTTGAGCAGCAGGTCCGAGTATGCTCGTCGGGAGACTGTCATCACAGCAGAGATGGCCAGGGCACGCTTCCCTCCACGATCCTCTCAGCTGAAAGCTACTAGGGAGTACGACTCCGCCTGGTCTTGTCAGCACGGGATACGTGTAAATAATATAAACGTGTTAGGGCACAAACACATGTGTAGATGTAAACCTACTCTGAAATTTGAAAGTTGTTTAAATACGTCAAAGAGTATCAGTAACTTACTCCATCACGTTAGCCAACAGAAAGCGTGTGGAGCGTTCAGCCCTGAGTGTCAGACCCCCGGGCCCCGGACCCCGTGCACGGCGCCCGGATCCATGGGATCTCCTGAAACTTCAACACCCAAACCTCACTCACTGCTCTCTGCCATAGGACAGAGATAGAAATCACCCCCCAGGGGATGGCCACGCCGCAACGCCTTCTCTCCCATTCTCTTCTTGGGATCTTGGGCACGCACACACACGCGCCCAGCATGTGTTTAAGCTGCTGGGTCCGGGACTCGAACCGTGGGCAACTGTGGGAGTTCAGTGACATATCACTACGCCACCTGCTGGTCCCCAAGCTCACTTTACACTGAAGGGGATACACGAGTAGCCCTGAGGCACCCGTTCTCAAGACCAGGCTGATAAAGGAACTGTGCCCCTCTCTCCTTTTGGATCTCTGAGAGGGAGCCACGAAGAGCCGGACTAGAACGAGGCACTGGAAGGCTGGGTCAGGGGCATGCCACTCATGGCCAGCATTATGATGCCACGGGCAACTTCTCCAACGAGACAATGTAAAACAGCGCTCACACTTAATGCAGACCCCTGGGCAGCTTCAGAAATAAAAACGCACCAGCAGAGCTGCCTATTTAATGAAAAGTCAGGCAATTCTGAGAGTAGAACTGTCGAAGAGCCCACAGGGCTGCGGAGGGCTGCGGGGCCCATCTGTCCGTCTCCGACTGTCGGAGCTCACCGCAGACGAGGGAGACAGACTGAGGTACGGCCAGCATGCCTGACGGAGCACACTGTCTCAGGGTGTGCGGAGGGCCAGGGAGCCCGTGTTTTCCTTCGTGAGGGTGAGCGCCAATGTCCAGTAAGAATGAAGCACCAGATCGCGCCGTGAGGCCCATGTTCAGGGTAGGGAGCCAGGGCTGATGGACACCGAGGACAACGTGGTCTGACCAGAGTGCCCCCCTGGGCTGGCTGTGCTCCCTGAGCCTCCTGCCAGTGAGCCACTGTCTAGCTGGTTTTGGAAATCGGGGCTACCGAGCCCTAAGCGCTGTGACCCTGAAAGGCTGTCGTGTGCAGTTTTGTCGGACCTCGTTCCCCAGCACTGGCCCCTCGTGAGGAAGCTTTGGCCCAACAGTGACACATGGGCGGGAGGCTTGGAGAAAGGGCACTGCGCTGCCACAGCCCTCCGGCCTCCGCCTCCCAGCAGCTGGCGCTGCAGGTGCATACCCAGCCCGGCTCCCGCGCCCCCACTCAGCCCGCAGAGCACCCGCCTCGGCTGGCTTGTCTGGCTCTCTCCCGTCCTGACGTGACTAAGGCAGACAGATCAGCACGGAAGGTTCACGTAGCCAAGAGAGGACGGAGACCTGGAAACACCCCCGGGGGCCTTCTCGCATGTGCGACCGTACCGGGTCTGTGAGAGCTGCACCTTGCATGTGCGTGCACGCACAGCGGCCCTCGTGAGCCTGTGCCAGGCACTCTGGGCACCAGGCGGGCCACGGCCATGCCACCTACCTGGACCGCCGCGCCGTCCGGTAGGCACTGGGGAGTGCGCGCTCAGCCCTCGAGTGCAGCCGTGACCGGGACTTGGAGGACGAGTGGTGCCTGGGCGAGCGCGACCTCGTTCGAGACCTCTTCTTGTGCTTTTTCTTTTTCTTTTCTCTCTCCTCTTCTCTCGGCGGGTCTCTGCTTCTGCTTGAAGGCCTTTCGGGTAGTTTAACTTCTGGGGCGGGTGGAGGCCGGCCCCCAGCCAGCAGAGGACAGGGTGCAGCACCGGTTTCCTGCAAAGAGCACATGCAGGGTCAGCAGAGACCCAGGTGCCCACCACCTGCCACCTGCCCCCTCCTCCTGGGACGGAGGCCTCCCTCCAAGACTTTCTGGAAGATCTCCTGGCACCCTCAGGAGCATGGCAAGGGGTGACTGGAGGCTGCTGCCGACGCTGGCAGGGCTGTGGGCACGAGCTGGCGCGAGGGTCACCATTACAGGGCAGTGTGGGGACAGGACAAAACTCCAAGGTCGGATTCCTGGTTTCTGGTGACTATCTCACTCCGCTGTGTTGGAAAATACCCAGCGTCAGACGCGCTTGGGGTAGGCGCGGACCGGCCTGCATGGCTGACCCCCTTCCACAGCAGGAGCAAGAAGGGCCACCTCCCGTTCCGCACAGAGCAGGCCGAACCAGCTGTGCCACTGCCTCCAGGAAAGGGCGTCCTCAATCCACGCGAAGCGAGTCGTAACCACAGCCATTAAACACTGAGTAAACCTGCCACTGCTCACGGTGAAGGGAAACCAACCCCTCGGGCTCCAGTGGGCCGGGATGCCCCAGCTGTCCTGGGGAGGAAGCCGCACAGGCCGACCCCCAGAAGCCCTGCAGGTGGCCGCCTTCCTTCCTTCCTTGCCCACCTTGACGCGGGGAACAGCACGGTCTACACAAGGTGTGATCTCACTGCCCTGGGCCGGGGGCGGGTGCCCTGGGGCGGGGGCGGGTGCCCTCGGGTTAGCGCGGCATCGCAGACCTCTCAGCCTCCTTGCGCACGCGCGACGGGTCCTCCAGGCGAGCAGAGCTCCCCCAGGCCTAGGTGCAGCTCGGAGGGCAGGACACTGCAGCCCCAGGGCTTTCCCAGTGGGCACGGGCGGAGGGCTCTGTGACCCTCTCGGACACTGCCTGTCCAGTGCACGCTCAGTTCTGCCTATGGTGTGGGGGACCTGCCACACCCAACGGTCTCCCAGTGACACTGACACATACTTCCTCACAGCACGACCCTAAGACACAGGCCGAAAGCCAGCTCTATGTCCAAGACCTGCATGCCCCATGTGCAGCCGCGGGCCCTGTCCTTCACAGCAGTGGGGCTGGACACAGCCAGTCTGCAGGGCCCATGGAACCAAGACACAGGCAGAGAGAGCTTCAGCTTCCTGGGTGCTCAGAGGCCAGCCCTGGCCAGCACTGTACGACTGGGCGCTCACTGCCAGACCCCTGGCAGCCGCTCTCCACATCAGAGTCCCGGTGCCCGTGGACTTCAGTGAGCAGTGGGCTGCACGACCGACGGCCCGACTTGGGGAGGACGGACATGACTCAGTTCCAGAAAGCCTCTGAGGGCCGCATTCGCACTCAGAGCCCCTCACCCCGCGGCGCCAGGGCAGCGCTCCTTTCTCAAAGGTAGGCGCCCAGTTGAAGCCCCCGCGGACACTGCAGAGCCTAGACCCGCGCCTCGCCCTCACGTGGGCAGGCCATCTGCTGGGCCGAGGCAGACACGTGTGCCTGCTGCGCTCCTGTACAAGGTGCTCTGTCCACACCCCGGGGCTCCTGCTGCCAGGCCGACGTGACCCTGGAGACGGACTGTGGAAGGGCAGACGTGGGCTGAGGTGGCCCCAGATAAAGCAGCTCTCAGTCGGGCTCCCACAGCTGCTCCCGACGCCGAGCACACAGTGGGCCCGCTACTGCCGCCCTGCCTGCACCCAGTGGGCCCTTCCCGCCTCCCATGGCCCTTCCTACGCCGGTGACCTTGCAGCCACTGGTGGCCTTTCAGGTAGCACTGACGGTCACTGCTACACACTGACACGGTGCGCCGGGCCCACTAGACCCCCGCCCTCTGCCCTACGCTGCCACGTGGTCGGTCTGGTCACGCGTGCACCTGAACCGTGGGTGGTAACTACGGAGTGGGCCTCTGAACGTCCTCCAGTTTCGATGGACTTGTACCAGCTGTGTGGCTTATGGCTGGCACACTGGACAGCACACACCCTAGGAAGCACCGGGCTTTCAGAGCCGATGCTACCGGGCCTGGCCCACACTGTGCGCGCCTGCCCTGTGAAGGCGTACACAGGGGAGGCCTGGTGTCTGTGACGGAGCCTGGGTGCCCTCCCTGCCCCGGTGTCTGCAGGCTAACGGACCTGTGTGTGACACTGGCTCCTGTTTTTTCTTAAGGTGTTTGCCATAGGGCACAGGTGCTCACCAGAGAGAGAGGGAGGGAGGTAAGAGACCCCCAGGGTGCTCCTCACCACCTCCTGGGATTTGGGCATGCGTGTGCAGTTGTGCCTGGTGCAGGACTTGAACCGTCATTGGACCAGGTGGGAGTGCAGTGCCACACACAGGCCCACTAACTCGTGTGTTATGTGACTGCAGCCCACCCACAGGCCTGTGTCAGGCGGCCTTGGAACCACCCCTTTACTCAGTGCACTCTCGACCGCTGGCATGGCGGGGAGGCACCCGCTGCAGGACAGGGCCGCCATCTTACATTTCCTCCCTCCCTAGCTCCACGTGTGACCTCGGAGCTGCAGCTGTGGACGCTGAGTTGCCCTGGGCCGGGTGTGCCTGGCCACAGCAGTGTCCCTCCGTGGTCGCTGCATCTGAGCTGTCATGGCAACTGCTACGTGTCCTGGCCTGACTGTGGCAGAGAGCTCTGCGTGTCTGTGTGACTGGCTGGAGCGAGGCGGGCAGCAGGCGGTGTGTGCATGGAGAGCTATGGGGAGGCTGGGGTGATGGGGCCGGGGCTTCCCGCCGTCCCTGACAATGCTCAGCTGAGAGCAGCGTCCTCGCGGACGGTTGGGACCGTCATAGCCAAGGCCCAGCAGCTGGCGGGACATACGGCCCTGGTCCACCTCGGGTAGGTCCTCGCCTGACAGACGCACAGGAACTGCCCTCGCTGCTCTCCTATCTTAGCCGGCCGGTACTTCTGAGGCTCCTGCGGATGTGAGAGGATCTAGAGGACCCCAGACAGGTAAGCCTGGCCTGGACTCTTGGGGAGGCCACGGTGAGCTAGAGCAGACACAGCGAGGAGGCTGTCTGTGCCAGGGCGAGCCAGCTGTGGGCACGCTGGCCCCAGGTGAACAGTGCCGGCTGCACATGCCACGGAGCTGTCCCTGCAGACCTGGGCACAGCGCTCCTGGCTCATGGGCATGCTGGGCCGGCTGGCTTGCGATGGCCCAGGTAACAGGCAGAGCCAGAGGTGTTGCCGTGAGCACCTGCTGAAGGTGAGGCCGCGGCGTCCCGTTGTCCACCCTCCCCTGTTAGGCTCAGAGCCTCGTGCGGTTCCTGGAGCTGCTACTCTGTTCTAAGAAGGAGGAAGCCAAGAACGATTTTTCAAACAGCTTTGTAACTGCTCTCAGACACAAAGCCACAGCTTTCCAGCTCCTGAGCATGGGCCTACAGGCCACCCAGCAGCACAGCATACGTCCCCTGAGCGAGGCGGAAAGCAGCAGCCACGGTGCTTGGCCCACCATCGGGCCGACAGCCTGCCGCACCTCGTGGCTCACCAGGCCCTGTGTGCCCTGCTCTCACTTTGGGAAGCGCTGTCTCCGAGCACCCCGGTTCCTGAAGAGCCTGGGCACTCTGCAGCAGCTTACACAGCGAGGTGCGGCATGTGGGTGGCCACGGCACGTGCTCTGGGCCCAGGAAGGAACCCCTCCTGTCACACACAGGGCCCAATGAGAGCCCTCTGCCCCGGGACAGACACCCATGACCCTCTCCTGCCTTCCCAGTGTTCAGGGTAAAGCACACACATTGGGCTGGCCCCGTGGCCTGGGGTTAAGGGAGCTGGAACCCACAGCCGACTGTGATCTGAGTCCCAGCGCCAGTGGCTTAAAAAACATGCTGATATGTGCGTGCATCCCATCCAGGTGGGCAGAGCAGGGGAGAGCAGGGGGTTGTGGTATGTGCGTGCACACTATCCAGGTGGGGCAGAGCAGTGGAGGGCAGGGGTCGCAGTGTGACCACACGGCTGTCAAGGTGCTCTCCCTCTCCCCCGTTTCTCTCTGGTGAGTGCATGGGCGCTGCAGCAGGGGCGTCCTCAGACCTCACATCAGTCTGCTCTGGAAACTCCTAACCTGCAGCCCGGGGATCGGTGAATTCCCTGGGGCCTACCAATGCTTGGGGGGCTGTGCACACGTGCACGTGTGGGGACAGCCTAGTCCATGGGGAGCGGAGAGCAGGGCGTGCTGGCCCCACTCAGGCCGAGCGCCGTGCGTTCACATCAATGCGCCGGCGTGCTCTGGGGACGTACCTCAGCACTCGGGGGACTCTCCTCAGGTTTCCCAGCATCTGCTTCTGGCAGGGGGTTCCTCAGGGTCTGCAGGAACAGAGCGGCCTTCCTCTTGCGCTCTGCTTGCAGCTGCTTTTCCTTGGACTCCTTAGACGCCTGGGCAAGCTTCTCCCGGGCAGCAGCGGCTAGGCGGTCCTCCAGCTTCTGCTTTGCTTCGGAGTGAACGGAGAAGACTGACATTTAGAGCAGGCGGCGTCTCACCTGGCTCTCGACACTCTCAGGTGTCGCCCCGTCACATAGCACCACGACACAGACACACGGATTCCGGGACGGACGGACTTCGGAGAGGGTCCGTGCACCGCGCCTCTTTCTGCAGACTGTGCTCTCAGTCAGGTGAAGGGACTGCGCACCAGTGACCTTACACGCGTGTCCCAGTCACACAGGAAAGAGCACACGCGCAGGGCTGCGCTCCTCGGCCCACCGCGCTGAGCTTTCACACAGGACAGGGCTCGCCAACCACATGCAAACATGGCTGCCTCGGAGAGCGGCTACAGCGCCCGGGGCGAGGCCCTGGGGCTGCCCGATGGCTCTCAGCAGTGCGGCTCACTCTGCGCAGAGAGGCCCCGAGAAGCCAGCCGGGATGGAGAAGAAGAACAAACGCACCTGATCGATTTCAATACAGAACAGGTTTATTTTAGACAGAGCAGAAAGCCTACGAGACCCCCATGCTGCTGGCCAAGGCCAGGGCTGTGCAGTGGCCACGCGGCGACCCGTGAGGAAGAGCCACTTTGGCAGGCAGAGCCGTCAAGAGTCCAATGGGCTTGCTGAGAGACAGCCTCACAAAGGGCCTCTCCCGTGGGGTGCATTAAGCCATGCTGGGAACGCAGGCTGAGTGCTTCGCCCTGGGGCTGCCCGCGAAGCACGTCCATTTGAGCGCTCGGCGGCCTGAAAACACCCAGGGCTCCGCTGATGCCGACAGACGCAGAGCAGCTCTGTGGGCACTCGGGCGCAGCCCCCAGCCCCAGCGGCTCTGCCTGCCAAGGCCCAGATCCTGCCGCCGCTCGGAGCCCTGGCTTGGCAGATGCATCTCAGGTCTGTGCACGCCCTTGCTCTCAGGAGTTTAAACACTACCGACAAACCTTGCTTTGCTTCGAGCTCTTCCTGGGTGAGCTGAGGCCTCTTCTCTTCCACGGCAACACAGGGCGCAGCGACGGCTGGGTCGGGGGCCGCGGCACTGCTGCAGCTCTCCTGGCCTTCCCCGCCCTCCCTGTCGTCGTCACTGTCGTCGTCGAGCTTGACTCGGTTTTTTTCCAGAGGAAGTAAATCGTTTTCTTTGGCCTTGATCGCAAAGCTTATTGGAGCGAATGAAGCTACTGAGAAAAGGCGAGACGCAATCAGTTAGGTGAGGAGCACAGCACAACGGGCAGGGGAAGGGGCTGGCAGAGAGCTGCCCTCGGGGTCCTAGGGCCGAGCCCTGGCTCACCCTGGGGGACCTGCAGGCCAGCCAGGGCTGACAGGAGCCAATGCTGAGCGCTCGGAGCGGGGAGAGCACCAGAAATTTTAAAGGCCAATTCTTATCATTTTTCTTAAACTGTTTTGGGGCCAGGCTGTGGCACAGTAGTTAAGGTGGCTGGCTCCCACATGGCTGACACAGTGGTTTGAATACCAGACCCGGTGGCTTGAGACACGTGCTGGCACATGTGCACGACCCAAACTGCAACTAGGAAGGGAAGATGGAAGAGAAGGGACTGCTGCGTGACCATCCTCCACGGGGGTGCTTTCTCGCGCTCTCTGGCAGGCACGCATGTCCCTGGGCAGAAGTAATAATCTTCTTCTCAGGCAGCAGGTGGCGTGGTGGTTGGGGGAGCTGGACTCCCACATGGCCGACTGTAGTTCGAGTTCTGGACCTGGTGGCTTGCTTTCTCCCCCTGCCTCCCCAACTCTGTCCCTCTCTGGTCAAATTAAAAACATAAAGTCAAATAATACAATTCTTTAAAAAAAATCTTTCTCGTGGCTCAGCACACAGCTGGCTTTGGTTGAACGATGTGATTGCACTATAAAAAGGTTTCTTAAGGGAAAAAAAAAGATCTACATCCATAGTCTTATAAAAAAAAAAAGCACAAACCGCAGCTCCCCTTCTTTGCTGGCCTGCACCCCACTGAGCACCTACTCCGAGGCGCAGGCTGTGTCTGGTGTCGAACCCGCTGTGATGGGACCGAGCCCAAACTACAAAGGCCTGAAGAGCAATGCCCCCGGCTCTGCCTGCCAAGGCCCAGATCCTGCCGCCGCTCGGAGCCCTGGCTTGGCAGATGCATCTCAGGTCTGTGCACGCCCTTGCTCTCAGGAGTTTAAACACTACCGACAAACCTTGCTTTGCTTCGAGCTCTTCCTGGGTGAGCTGAGGCCTCTTCTCTTCCACGGCAACACAGGGCGCAGCGACGGCTGGGTCGGGGGCCGCGGCACTGCTGCAGCTCTCCTGGCCTTCCCCGCCCTCCCTGTCGTCGTCACTGTCGTCGTCGAGCTTGACTCGGTTTTTTTCCAGAGGAAGTAAATCGTTTTCTTTGGCCTTGATCGCAAAGCTTATTGGAGCGAATGAAGCTACTGAGAAAAGGCGAGACGCAATCAGTTAGGTGAGGAGCACAGCACAACGGGCAGGGGAAGGGGCTGGCAGAGAGCTGCCCTCGGGGTCCTAGGGCCGAGCCCTGGCTCACCCTGGGGGACCTGCAGGCCAGCCAGGGCTGACAGGAGCCAATGCTGAGCGCTCGGAGCGGGGAGAGCACCAGAAATTTTAAAGGCCAATTCTTATCATTTTTCTTAAACTGTTTTGGGGCCAGGCTGTGGCACAGTAGTTAAGGTGGCTGGCTCCCACATGGCTGACACAGTGGTTTGAATACCAGACCCGGTGGCTTGAGACACGTGCTGGCACATGTGCACGACCCAAACTGCAACTAGGAAGGGAAGATGGAAGAGAAGGGACTGCTGCGTGACCATCCTCCACGGGGGTGCTTTCTCGCGCTCTCTGGCAGGCACGCATGTCCCTGGGCAGAAGTAATAATCTTCTTCTCAGGCAGCAGGTGGCGTGGTGGTTGGGGGAGCTGGACTCCCACATGGCCGACTGTAGTTCGAGTTCTGGACCTGGTGGCTTGCTTTCTCCCCCTGCCTCCCCAACTCTGTCCCTCTCTGGTCAAATTAAAAACATAAAGTCAAATAATACAATTCTTTAAAAAAAATCTTTCTCGTGGCTCAGCACACAGCTGGCTTTGGTTGAACGATGTGATTGCACTATAAAAAGGTTTCTTAAGGGAAAAAAAAAGATCTACATCCATAGTCTTATAAAAAAAAAAAGCACAAACCGCAGCTCCCCTTCTTTGCTGGCCTGCACCCCACTGAGCACCTACTCCGAGGCGCAGGCTGTGTCTGGTGTCGAACCCGCTGTGATGGGACCGAGCCCAAACTACAAAGGCCTGAAGAGCAATGCCCCCGCCCCACCCACTGAAAGACCATGTCAGGGCTAAGGGCCCACAGCCAGCCGTGGTTTACCGGGAGTCCAGGAGGACACCCGAGGAACTACAACCAGGGGTCCGAAGTGCACCGCGAGACACGGGTTCTGGGTAAACTCGTGGAGCGACCCCCCAGCCCTTCTTGGCCTCGGCTCCCAGCGGCACAGGTGGGGCTGCTGGCCGGTCCCCGTGCTCTCCCCACTGCAGCTGCAAACCCGCGTGTGACGTGCTGCGGCATGCCATGGCCCGGATCTGCGACACGCAGTCCTCTTGCGCCAGTGACTGCCATGAGCTGCAGAGCACACCCCAGGGTGAGAACCAGTGAGGAGAAGGGGCCATTTCGGGCTGAGCATGCGGTGAACATAGCTGCCTCCTACACTCGTACAGCGCACGCTCACACCCCAAGTGCCCAGGACTATCTATGCGTGTGGCACAAGGACTGCTGTGTCCGGCAAGGACAGGTGGCACCGGCATCTCACTACAGACAGACTTGGGAGCCCTCGCTCTTCAGGACTCAACACACACAGGAATATCAGTGAGCGGCCACGGTAACAGGTCTGCCGCGACACCTCCCAGGAGGGGGTTGGGTCAAGCGGCTGAGATGCTGCAAGGCCAGGGCCGCCTGACAGCCAGGCTGGGGCGGAGTGCCACGGGGGAGACAGGGGCTACACACCCACACTGCCCTGTCCATGTCTGACACTGCCCACGAGAACGACGACGCTCAGCCACAGCCCGACTGCCAGTAGTACTGACACCGTCAAGAAAAATCTCACAAGGGAGAAAACTTCCCCTAAAACGTTCATCAAAAATACTCAAAGGACCAGACTGGAAAATAGCAGCCGTTTTAAAACCATCACTCCCAAGCCACCCTCAGATTAGGGAGTGAGCAGAGGGCACCTAGAAAAAGGTCTCTGGGGGCGCCGGTCCTGCCCAGTCAAACGCGCTGTTTGCTAGGGCCACAGAGGACAGGACAGGCGTGCCAAAGGGCATGGCCCACGCCCGCCCCTCGCCCTGCTCTGATGCCCACGCAAGGACAATGGGATGCTCCCGTTTCACGGATGAGGAAACTGACCTTAAGGCGACTCAGCCCTGCACAGAGTAGGACTTGGTTTTCTTGCAGAAGGACCCCATCACATGATGGCTGCTTCTGCCTAGAGCCTTCTTTTTTTTTGAGAGGTTTTTCGCTATAGGGCGCGTGCACTTGCCAGACAGACAGAGAGACAGACAGAAAGCGAGAAATCATGCCCCAGGGGAGATGGCCACGCCACAATCCCTTCTCCTTCATTCTCTTCTTGGGATCTTGAGCACGCATGCACACGCACCCGGCGTGAGTTCCAAGCCACCGGGTCTGAGACACGAACCGCGGTCGACTACGTGGGAATCCAGCGACATAGCCATTACGCTAACTGCTGGTTCCCCCTAGAGTCTTCTTCACAAAGCACAAAGGAAGCACTTCCCGCGGCCGTGCACAGGTTTCCCATCTGATGGACAAGGCCCAGGCCTGCCAGACACCCCTGCCTCGACAAGCAGGCCGGGCCGAGTCTGGCACTTCTCACTCCTCGGGGCCTGGAGGCGGCCTCCGCAGGACCTGCCCAGCCCACCGCACACTGCAGTCTGTGCCCGCCGCGTCCTGCGGACTGTGGTACGGCACGGCACGGCAGAGCATGGGCAGCCGTGCTGGGCCCCACTCCTCATGAGTCTTCCCTTTTTTGAGCTTATTTTTAATTACGACCATGACGAAGAAAGAGAGAGACGCCCCGGAGTGTGTATCCACCCCGCACCCAGGCTCACCCAGCTGACCTCAGGCCCTCCTTACACAGTGGGTGTGACGAGGGAGGTCTTGAAGGCGGGCCAGCACCTTACCTGGGCCCAGCCATGCTCCCACACTCCCACCGCGCCAAGGCCCCTGGGCTTCCAACCTAAGCATTTTACTTTAGTCAGGCTCTACAGCTAGCTTCTCCTCTTTTTTTTTTTTTGAGAGACATTTTTGCTCTAAGATGTATGTGCTTGCTGGAGAGAGAGAGAGACAAAAGATGAGAAATCACCCCCGGGAGGATGGCCATGCCGTAATCCCTTCTCCTCTACTCTCTTGGGATCTAGGGCATGCACACATACATGCCTGGTCTGAGGGTTAAGCCACCGGGTCTGGGATTCGAGCCACAGCCAACTAGGTGGGAGTTCAGCAATGTAACCACTACGCCACCTGCTGGTACCCTTTATAGCTAACTTGTAACTTAACAAATACAGGAGGGTCTTTGATCTTTGATGTTCCTGTACATTGACTGTGGGAAATTATAACAACAGAAATGAACAAAATGCAAGATAGCTGCAACTCAGGTATGAAGAAACCACACGGACATCTCTGACACTTCCAGGCACACGTGTGCACATGCATGCATACAAGAAAGGAAAACGGGGCCCTATCTTCTCTTCTCACCACCTCTCGTGAACAGCCCAGACCGAGTCAGTGCAGACGGCCTCACACAGGGCAATGGCGTTTCTCTGCACAGACACGCCAACTCACAGCCCTCATGACTGTTCCAGCTGTTTATTTTAAATTTAAAACCAAGTTCTATGTCGAACACCCTGTAGAGAAGTTTTTGCTATGGGGTGTGTGTGCTTGTGGGAGAGACAGAGACAGAAAGGGAGAAATCCGCCCCCCCCCCCCCCAGGGGTGGCCATGCCACAATCCCTTCTCCTCTTGGGATTTTGGGTACACATGCCCATGCGCCCAGTGTAAGTTTTAAGCCACAGGGTCTGGGACTCGAACCAGTCAACTATGAGGGGCCAGTGACATAACCATTACACAGGCCATCTGGGGTCCCTTTCTTTCCTTTAACCGAGAGCGAGCGAGTGGGCGGCAGGAGGGGTACTCCTGCTGGGTCCCCGGGCGTGCCTGCCTGCTCGCTCCATGGTGGCCGGTGGCTGCAGTTACCCTGGTACACAGCCCTTCGAGGCGTAGGAGACTGACTCGTTGCTAGGCTGCCTTCCCAGAAGGCTGTTCCCACTCCTACTTCCAAACCCGCTGCTTCCATGGCCCACAGCCTCTCTGTCGCTGAGTAGTAGTATTCTTTTTTTTTTGGAGAGGTTTTCGCTATAGGGCACGTGCATTTGCCAGAAAGACAGAGGGAGACAGAGAGACAGAAAGTGAGAAATCACCTCCTCCCCCCAGGAGGGGATGGCCACACCACAGTCCCTTCTCCTCTGTTCTCCTCTAGAGATCTTGGGCACACACACATGCCTGGCGTGAGTTTAAGCCACCGGGTCCAGGACTCAAACTGCGGTTGACTACATTGGAGTCCAGCGACATAGCCATTATGCTAACTGCTGGTCCCAGTAGTAGTATTTTTTTTAACTTTAACAAATCTGAGCAACAAAAGACAAAATCTTGTTAATGAAGGTACTGAAACTCTTACCTCCGGGCCACCTAACTTCTATGTCAGTTCTGAACTAGCTCTCACACCGCAGTCTGTGTTCTGACTGCCCCATCCTCTCTGACTGCTAAGCTCTCTGCAGAGGGAGGCCTAGCCCTCTGGCCTCTCCTGTCAGCACACCCTGGGACAGCCTGCCAGGTGTGAGGTCACAGCCACAGGGCAGGGGGGCGGAGGCATTCTCCACAGGCCCGCTCCCCTATTCACCCCTCCTCCTGTCGGAGCTTTGGGCATGCAGGCACGTGTGCCTGGCGTTTTTTAAGCCCCAGGGTCCAGGACTTGAGCTGCAAGATGGGCCACGTGGGATCCAGCCACCTTAGCCGCCAGGCCCTGAGCAGCCCCAATGGCTACAATCCAGACATTGTCTTTTTAACTTTCTCGGGCCCTGTCCTGGTAGACCTCTTAGACTCTCTCTTTTTTTTTTTGAGAGGTTTTTTGCTATAGGGTGCGTGTGCTCGTCAGACAGAGAGAGACATAGAGACAGAAAGCGAGAAATCACCCCCCAGGGGGGCTGGTCACGCAGCAATCCCTTCTCCTCCATTCTCCTCTCGGGATCTTGGGCACGCACGCACACAAGCCTGGGTGGATATTTAAGCCACCGGGTCCAGGACGCGAACCACGGTCAACTATGTGGGAGTCCAGCGACATAGCCATTACGCTAACTGCTGGTCCCCTTAGACTCTCTTCTGAATAAGGCTTCAGATCGCTCAAGGTCCAGCCCAGGACTACGTAAATATTACCCTTTCCTGTTTCCCTCTACTTCCCACGATGCTGAACTAACGGGAAACCATCGTCGCCGTCAGCAGTGGCGTGCCTTACTATCTCCTCAGAACGAGGGCTGTTAGCAGAACCCCGTGCCGTGCACTGAGGGGGTCTTGCTCCGAGCTCAGGACGTGCTCTGCTCCCCTGGCATCTGTGGAGAGGAAGTGCCCACCAGGTGGCCGGACAGCGGCAGTGGGCGATCGGGCACTGTCCATCCAGGATGGCTGGAGCCAGTCCATTTGCTCATCACAGCTCGTTCGGGTTAGTATTTGGACCTCCAGTTCTGAGTGCTCACGGTCTGTGGCGTGCGAGGCTCTGAGGGCTTGGTGAGTCTCTGCTGTCCCAGCGCTCTGAGTGGCTGATGATGCAGACACTCCCCCTTGTGGGCCTACTGCCCGGTTTTAGAGTGTTTATTTCACTGACCAATGTCTTCATATTCTTCCAGGCCTGTAGGTTTATGTTGGCTTCCCATCTCTTCTTCAAACAATCTTCGCAATTGACGGACTTTTTGGGTGACTTCCAAATCCATCCAAAGGGGAAGTTCTGGATATTATCACTGTGTATCTGAAGACACCCGCGACTCTCCCTGGCCCATGCTGTCCATGTACCCTGCTTCTGTCCGCGTGGACGCTCAGGATGACGCCCCTCACCGCCCCTCCTGCTGTCCGTGGGCCGCTCTGTCCGCGTGGACGCTCAGGATGATGCCCCTCGCCGCCCCTGCCGCTGTCCGTGGGTGTACCCAGCACCTCTTTCCTGGGTGCAGCCGTGTGGCTCGTGACGCGGCCTACTGAGCTCCACGCCCTCCTCCCGCTGACTGCTGCCACCGCCGCTGTGGAGAAGCGCCTCTGCCCAGCATCCCATGTGCCCGCTGGGTGCTGTGGGCCAGCTGCCCCCCGGCTGCTCGGCTTCCCCGGCCGCCTACAGATGCGCCACCGTTTCCTTGAGATCTGAGGAGACCGAGAGCTCGCCTCTGTGCAGTCTGGTCTGTAGTGTCCTTACCACCCCGTAAGACTGCAGAGTTGATTTCAAAGCCATCTTCCGAGATGTCAGGCCACAGCTGTGCTATAGCGTTTAGTATTTTCAGCTTTGTGGAACGCAGAGTTAGAGACTGAAAGGATTTTCTCCTGTAACGTGGGAGCCTGCAAACCCGAGGTCAGGTGTCCCTTTCTAAGGTCTGTCTAGGTGCAGGGACTCCCTTGTGCCCCTCCTCAGGGAGGCAGGCCTGTGGGCAAGCTACTTCACCTGCAGGTTCTGGACCATCATGCAGGCAGGGGGCTCCCTGGGCAGGCTGCAACCCAGCCTTTCTCTGCAGCTCCCAGGAGGTGGCCTGCTGTCGGGGTGCTGCCTGGGGTGCTGGAGGGGTGTGGCGAGAGTGAGTCCCCAGGCGCATGCTCCAACTCTGTGAGTCACACCCAGGGGGCTGGCTTGTCCTTGATGCCTGGACAGTCACTCCCACTGCAGTACAGTCCTGCTTTTGTGGCCCCTGACTGCATCTCTTTTGTCATCCCAACAAGAGTATGAGGCTGTAGGAGGCATGGGGCCTGACAGCACGGTGCTCCGGTAATCTCCTGGCGTGAGCAGCCTGGAGACCCTCGTGGGCGTCAAGCAGTTGGCTCTCCTGCTGGTCACCAGCTGAGTCATTCTGGTCACTCTGAGTGACCATCATTCCCACAACATGGGCAGCTCCCTGCCAAGGAAGACCTTCCACACTCCAGCCCTCCACTCCGCCTCACTTGGGAGCTGCCCCCACCCCACCGCCATGTCTGCCACGTTCACCCCAGCCCAGACAGCCCTGTCCCCTGTCCTCACTGGCACCAGGGCAGACCACGCTGCTCCTCTGATCTGTAGCCTGGAAGGCTGCCACTCTGGGCCGCCCACGCCTGCCCCGCGCTCCGGAGGCCGGGAAGCCTGCCACTCGCGGCCAGATTCTCAGGGTGTCCTGTGGAAGGCGGACCCAAGCTGGCAGCGCCGCTTTCTCCAGACCACGCCCACAGCCCAGGGTGCGGATGCCTGCCGCCTCTGTGAGAGAAGGGCTTGTTTGGGGCCGTGTCCTGCTGTGACTGGGGACCTGCTCACCCCACCAGGCGGCGGCGGTCCTTCTCTGCACACGATTCTTTGCTGACACGTCTGCGCTGCCCCCACGTGTACCGTTTTCCCACATTGGCTATTCTCAAACAGCTGTCCTGCCAGGTGGGCCTCCTCACTAGCAAGGGACCCGCTCTGACAAACTGTGGCCTTCACTGGTTCGACGCTTACACCGACATATAGCTTGAGGGGTCAGGGGGACTGTGGCGTCACCTGGAACTCTCTAAACTCCTCCATTAAATTGCTTGGAACAGGCTGTTAAACAAATGTGTCCCGAAGACCAGCTTACGATCTTCATGTGACCCCAAGTGCCAGGCCAGGAAAGTCTGACCGAGCGAAGCAGTCCCATCAGAGAGACTTCCAGAAGCTGCAACGGCACCCTGTCCTGCAGTGAGAGGGACCTAGTCCCCGTCCCCCAGCACACCTTCTGTGCGCATCCAGGGGAGCTGCGAGGCCAACCTACCTTTCACGAGCTTCCCGTCCGGGAGGGTCTTACTGGACGACGCCTCCTTCCTGCCTCCAGGGGTGCCTCGTCCTCCCGCCTCAGCGATGTCCGCAGGCGCGCTGTCCTCTCCGAGGGCCTCCAGCTTCTCAGGGGCAGACTCTGCCGGAGCCTCTTCCGGAGCTGACGCCGTCTAGAGAGACTGGACGTCACTATCAACCGTACCAGGACGTCTCGTCGTTTTGCCAGAGAACGGCCTGCACGGGCGTAGTCGCACCACCGCCTCCCCCAGACGGCAGTATTTCCACACACTGCCCAAGGAGCACGAGGGGACACACTTGCCAATTCGGAGAACCAACGGAAGGGCAGGGACAGGAGGGGATCACCTCCTTCGGGAAGGCTCCGTGTCTCAGAGCACTTTGCACCGCCTGAGGCCACATCTGCCCTTCAGGGCAGACAACCGAGAACACACGGCTGGAGCCACGGAGGAAAGGTGCGGACGAGCGGACGGTCAGCAGGGCTACGTCTCTCTCCTCAAATAGGAGTTAACAGCCGGCAAGAGGGCCACAGGGAGGGGAGACGGCTGCCAGTGGGAGACATGCGTGGCCAGGAAGTGAGCAAGACAGGGCAGGCCCACGCAACTGCAGTGCACGGTTGTGGGGCGCACGGACAGGTCATGATACAAACACACCATCAGCACAGTGCGGTCGTGAGGCACGCGGACAGGTCACGTATGCAAACACACCATCAGCACAGCGTGGTCGTGAGGCACGCGGACAGGTCACATATGCAAACACACCATCAGCTCAGTGTGGTCGTGAGGCGCACGGACAGGTCACGATACAAACACACCATCAGCACAGCGCGGTCGTGAGGCACACAGACAGGTCACGTATGCAAACACCATCAGCACAGCGCGGTCGTGAGGCACACGGACAGGCCACATATGCAAACACACCATCAGCACAGTGCGGTCGTGAGGCGCACGGACGGGTCACGTATGCAAACACACCATCAACACAGTGTGGTCGTGAGGCACGCAGACAGGTCACGTATGCAAAAACACCATCAGCACAGCGCGGTCGTGAGGCACACAGACAGGTCACGTATGCAAACACACCATCAGCACAGTGCGGTCGTGAGGCGCACGGACGGGTCACGTATGCAAACACACCATCAACACAGTGTGGTCGTGAGGCACGCGGACAGGCCACGTGTCCGACACGCTTCTAGTACAATGGAGCGGGCCAAAAATGGCACCACATGAGCCAAGAGGCCGCTGGCGCAGCAGGGATGAGCTGGGCTTGGGGAAGGACCCGCCGGTTGGGTGGGGACGTGAGGGCCCTGAGGGTGCCTGCCCTGTCCTGCTTGCTCAAGGGAGAGGAGAAGTAAGACGTCAGAACAGGTAAGCAGGAGCAGAGGGGTGCAGTGACCCCACACACCAGTGTGGAGACAGGGCTCTGGCTGGGTGTGCTAGCCCACGCAGAGTGAGCGCACACTTCCCAGGGGCCCAGACGTTCCCTTCACCTTGGGGCCCGGGAGAGCAAACAGGCTGCTGGACGTCAGAGCCAGAGCAGGACCAACGAGCACCCACCCCTCTGAGAGTGACGGCGGGCACTTCTGGACCTGCCCAGCGGCGCTGCTGTGAACCCCACCCTCCCGCTCCAGAGACGTGCCTGTGTGCTGGTGCCTCCCTCCTTCTGGACGAAGAACTGCTTCTTGAACTCGTAGTAGGCATTGTACTGGTGCCACGGCTGCAGGAACTCGAACCTGCAGAAGAGACGGCCGACATGCCCTTGAAGGAGCGGTGCATGCGGGGACCATGTCATGGCCAGCCGCCGGGCACACGAGGCAGCTGTGACATGTGGCTGCTCCCGAGTGCCCAGTGTGAGCCGGCCCGCCCGCCCAGTGCCCAGCTCCTGCATGAGGACACCTGCCGGGCCCTGGGCACATGGCAGATGCGGCCTGGTGCAGCCACACTAAGGCGTGGGAGCTCTCTGGTCTGACACAGGAAGGTCTGCGTCTCAACTTCCAAGGCAGGTGCTGGAGGAGCACAAATTCCAGCCTGTCCGTGTGGGTCACTTCAACCTTACTTAAAACTCTAACAAGATCATTATAAAACATATTTTCCTAGAGACAAGTAAACTGAGAAAAAGAAAGAAAAACATTAAGTAAAAAAAAGCTAAACTCCAAATATCACACGGTCCCACCATGTAGCAAACGCCCTCACCTCTGATCGTTCTTGGCACGGACACTGGTCTCGAATTTCAGGCCGTTCCTAGCCACATATTCCGCCAGCTTGTCGATCACTGGCTGGATGTCGGGGGGCGGGGGGATGATGGCGGCCAGGGGAGCAAGGGCACTGTGGGGAAGAGCCTGGTGAGCTCAGCTGCTCGTGGGGGCTTGGGAGTCACTCGGGGGGGGGGCCGGGAAGGGG